ATAACTTAGGAACTTGCATAGAAAAGAGAATTCCTCTTTCTTTTTTAAAAGTCAGCCTTGAAATTTTTATATCCTTTGAGTCATATTCTTGAAGCAATTGGCTGATTAGTTCAAGAAATGTTACCTTCCCAATTCAAACATGACATTTTGAAAATCATCCATGAATTACATGCCTCGGGAATGAAAGGCTTTTCTGTGCCATTTAAAAGTTGTTTTTTTTTTTTTTTTCATTTTAAGGGCAATCATGAATATCTATAAGGGCACATTTATGACTCCCAGAACAGATAGAAAATTAGCAAAGTCATAAACTTTTTACCCAGCTTTGCTATTGCAGCTGTGTCTCAATCCAGTCTCCCACCAATTCCCCTGCCACTAAAATGGTTAAGGATGATGTTACTTTTGCCATTACAGGCAAGGCACTAGTCTTTGTATGTTGGCTTTCTAAATCTCTACATGAAGGTCTGGAAAAAAAAAAGAGTCTGTTCTGGTTCAACAAAAAGTTGCTGGTCCCATAAATTTGTTCCTGAAAATTCTTACCTTCTGGTCCCGGAAAATGTCCCTTTTCTTCTAATCCCATAGAGTAAACCAATGCTAAACCTCAGAAAATCAACTGGCTGTAAGCTTTCTGCCTTCATTTACACCACTGTATTCAGGATCTGTAGACATGGATGTATGTTTCTGTATATACCCACCCAGTAATTACGGATGCAAGCCTTTAATTTGTCCGAAACCGTGCAGGCATAATGGTGACAACCCACACATTTTTCCATTGGAAATTGTAAATGGATGACAACGAAAGAACCCAGGCCTCCCCCGCCCCCTTCCTGGGAAGCTTTTTCATGACTCTGTCCATCAGGCCAGAATCAACTCAATGCTCATGGGGTGTTGATCACTGTCGCTCAGGTAATTAGAACAGTGCTACTCAAAGTGTGGTCCTTAGAGCAGGACTGGTCTTTAGTCAGCAAGGAGATGAAGTCAAAAATTAAGAAAAGACGTTCATAAATGTTTAGAGGTATTTGGTGGAATCCTCTTCTCCCTGTTGGACCTAATCATAAAAACTGGGGGTTTATCTTCATTTTGTAAAAACGAAATGGAATTGAAATCTAATAGAGTTTCTATCTCTGGCCAGGATGAGAGTGAGTTTTCTTTTTTGGAAGAGCTGTCAGCAACACAAGACCTCGTCTCACATGAGCTCGATGGCAATAATATTATGATACACTTATATTTGAATATTAAAGCACGAAGTGATGTGTTGGTTTGGGACCACTCAGAAGCAGATCCAGAGAGAAGGACCTGGGCAAGTAGCTTATTTGGGAGACAATTCCAGTGAGCGACAGTAGGGGAGTGGGGAGGAAAGACAGGGAAGGGAAGGAGGCCAGTAATTGGCATGTTAGCAAGCAGGTCCCCACCGAGGGTGGCAGGACCTCAGTCTCACTGGGAGCTCGGGAATGGTATAAAACACGCTTCAGAATTGCCCCACTCGCGGGATGAGAGAGATGGGGTATTCATCCACCAAGGTCCTGTTAAGCCTCCTGGGAGGCACTGTTCGCTCCCTGGCACTTCAGCCCCATCTGTGCGAGCTGTGTGGGCCCTGGTTAGAGAAAACCATCAGGTAAGGGCTTGCAGGAGCTGCCAGTTGAAAGCTGAGCTGGTCTAAATGAGATGAAAAGGATCACTCCCTTTGATCACTAACTTTGGGCCCATCCAGAACCCCTTTCACTAGCTTTCTCTCTTGCCTTGTGTAATTAATTAGTTGGTGGTCTACCTATTTGGCAGAGACTGATCGGGTGCTCACACAGCCGATCTCTGCTTCCTGGGCCCCCGACTGTACTCCATTTCCCAGTCTCCCTTGTAGAAGAGTGTGGCATGAAACAGCTGTACTTCCCTGGGCCACCTATATAAGTTATTGCCCATATTCTCCCTGCTTTTTACTCCTTAAGCCTCCTGGAATAGAGATGACCTGCAGGGCACCCTAGAGAGTCAAGCCTTGAAGATGGAAAGTTTGGGTCCTTGGGTCATCACTTAGAGGAGAGCCACTTGACTGGAAACATACCTTTAGAGGTTTTTGTGTTAAGCCATTGTGATTTTAAGGCTTATCTATTACAGCAACTAGCATTACTTTAAATAATGCAACATACATGTATGATCAAATAATTTATTTTTCTTGATATCACTTACCATTATTTCAGATTATGTACTTATTTATTTATCAGCCGTCTCCCCTCCACCAGGAAAACTTGGATTTGTACACTGCTGTATCTCTGGCATCTAGAACAATGCCTGGCAACTAGTATACGCTCAATAAATATTTCTCCAATGACTCAACACCGACGCACATGGTACATGACAGGCCCTATGCTAGGAACTTCATATCTCTTATTTTATTCTCCGAAAAACTGTATGGGGAAACTGGAATATACGCAGGCTGATTAACTTATCCAGTGGTACCCAGCAGGCAACTGAGGGAGCCAGGATTGGAATCTAGGTGGTCTGACTCAACTCTCAAATTCTTCCGCCCTCTGTACCTTGCCTGATGATATCTGCCAGGTACAGAGCTAGGGGCTGGGGGTGTAGAAAGCATGAGACATGGCACCTGCCCTTCAGGTCGACCCAACAGGCAACAGTTGACATGGGGCTTGAGTGCAGCAGGGAAAACAGACCAGTCTCATTCTTATCCATGGAGCAGGCTATCTTCTAGAAAGCTAGGCTCTGCTACTCAGCCAACCTGAGCAAGGGCACAGATACAGGATTCAAATCCTCTTATGGAATATGAGAGAACTGAGCAGACTATATAGAGCTAAAGCCAGATCCACTGTCACCAACGCGAGACACGTAAATGGTGATGCAGGGACATTTGGTGGATTTGAACAATTGGAGCAAAGGCAGAGTGAGTCGGAGGCAAAATCCTGATCCTGTGTGTTGGGAAGAGTTAGGAAGACAGTCGAGTAGAGGTTAAGGTTAAGAACACAGTCTTCAACCAGCTTTGCCATGTACAGAGCCTTATAACTTGGGCAGGTTAGAAGACCTTGTTGGGCTTCTTTTGCCTTATCTGTAAAATGGATGTAACCTGCTTGCCTCCCATGGTAAAGTGATTAGCACAGAGGCACAAAGTATGTGCTCAGGAAGGGTGGCTGGTATCGTACCTATTCTTTGATCCTTGATCCTTGGGGAAATCTACCCCCTGGCCACTGAGCTACAAAGATGGAAAGGCTTGGAGACTAATCATGGTGGATAATAATTGAATGGGGTGAGGAGGTTGCCCAGCGCTTCTGGGGCCCTGCCCTCATCCTTCCCATGTGCGGCCACCAGAGGGCCTTGACTTCTCTGTCTGTCACTATTGGCTTGCTCAGACGTGGCACATGAGAGGCCCAGTGGGTCACTAGAAAAAGGGATCTCTTTCCAAGGAGCAGCAAAGGAGCAAAGCATTCGATGAGAGGCGTCTGTAGAGCAGTTGCTGAGGGGTCCAATAAACAGGGGCTGCAGGTGAGGGAGCAGACAGCCTACTCTGTGGTGGGCAAAGTTGGCACTTGCTCACATGATCCCCTTTCCATGAAGGAATTACCCAGGGTTACACTGGGGCTGGCTTGGGGCCCTATAGTAAATGAGATACAACTGCATAGAGGCAGGTTATAGTTCAGCAAATTTCCAGAGGGGTGGCACCATCTGGATGATGGATGGGAAACTAGCAGTGTTCTCAGTAGGCCAGGAGCCCAGGAGCCCTCCCCAGCTCCTAATTCACCCTGCCTTCCAACTCTCGGTTCGTTATGTCAGGAAGGTCTGATATAAAGAGGCAAATAGCCCATTGGAAACATGGCTCATATCAGTCATTCTCACTGTATTAGGAAACAGCTTTAATTTTCCACCCTAAATCCTTAACAAAAACACCTTAGACACAACTCCATAACTTGCCATTCTTGTCCCTCTGGCTCATCACTGTAAACATCCCAGTTTTCAGAAAACACCAAGCTCTTGCGTAGTTCCTTGCCTTTGCCCATACTGTTTTCTTACTCCAAATGCATCTACTTGCCCCCCCACCCTTCTCCGCTTTGTGAAATACCACTCCTCCATTAGGTCTAGCAGGTACTTCCCTGATTCCTGCCTCTATTTTCCCAGAGTACTTTCCACTTACCCTTTATAGAACACTTATCAGAGGGGGTTATTGCTGTACATTTTTGTCTCTCCTGCTCACTAAAATGAGCTTCTCATGTGATTCCTCTCCAGCTCTGCTTGAATACCTGTCCTGGCAGGGTACTCACCATCCCAAAGGCAATGCATTCCATTGCAACCAATTCTCTTGGCGAAAATGGTTTTCCTATAATTAGGAAACAAATCTGCTCCCCTGATACACGGACCTACTGATTTTCTCCTTCCCAGTTCACTTGCCTAAACTTCCTTCAGGTGTGAATAAGGATTCTCATTCCATAATTAGAAATAGGTCTTAAATATAAATATCCTGAGAGTGGGCAATACATGGATAACTCATTCTAAAGTGTAAATGACTGATAAGAGCTTTTCCATTAAAACAAGGTTTTATTATGAGAACCTAAGGGTAGGCTGATATAGTGGATAGAGCACTGGACTAGGAAATGAATGATAGATCCAACGTGATCTATTTTTTTCTGAGCTTTGGTTTCCTCAACTCGAAATGGAATTATTTGCACAATGAGGAGTTCTTCTTATTACTGTAATTGCAGAATTTTGTCTGGAAGCAGTCCCACTCACCTGGGCTGTCTTAAGCCTTTGCTCTGGCTTGGATTTCTTAGCTCTTTCTTAGCTCTGGGTGGGCAAAAAGTTGCACGTGTATCAGTGAGCTCTAGCCTCCTCGGGGCAGGGTTGATATTCTTGGTGCCAAAGATGCTATGACTTATACCACCCACCATCACATCAATCAATGAGCCTTTTATTCTACCTGGTTTGAACCTTCCTCTCCCCTGCCTTGAAGCCCTGCTTTACTAGGGCTATTTATGGAATTTGTATCATAAATATTTGCAGGTAATACATTTACTGTAGGTAACACATTTTATTATGATTTTATTATGTAATCTCTTTTCCTGGAGTTTTGCAAGTAAAGATTGCATAAGAACCAACTCTTTATTTGTCCTAAGTTCCACCCTACAGAACCAGGCCATATTACAATTGCTTGATGCACAAGACTCAGTGACTCAATAAATACTTTACAAAAATAATGTATTTTTTTCTTTCTTAAAACATAAAAAAATTAGGGTTTTAGACTTGAGTTCCTCTCTTTGTTTTTATATTTATTTACTGAGAATATATTGTGGAGAAAAAAAATTGTTACGATGGTATTAAAATAAAATAGATGAAGTTCATGTTCTCCCCCCATTTGTTTTGCATTTTTTCTTTGGAAAAGTGCTACTCCTTGTTTTTATGTCTGACCTTCCTGTAGCCTTCTGAACCTATTAAGGCATGAGCAGAAATTCTATTCTGGGGTCTTTTAATAGAATCATAGCATTGTGTTAATACTGGCCTTTGTTTTAAAGTCCACTTAAAACCAGGCCTCAGATTTTCTCCTAAAATACCCATTTGCCCCCCACTCCCTACCCAGGCTGAGGCAAGGGCATTTGGAAGCTGAGACTTATCAAGGTACCTCACTGGCTAACTAACACTTGGTTTCAGGTGGGTGTTTTCTTGTTTTGATATCTTTCTGTTGAATTCTTTATTTTTAAAGAAGTCATTACTACAAAATTCCCTCTCTCTTCCATCTCCCTAAGCCCCTTTCTGAACTCTCATGGAAGTGATTAAATAGTTTCACGATGACAACTCCAGAGAAAAGGTGACGTATAAGTCACATTCATATTAAATAAGTTATATATAAAAACTGCTTATCACGTTTACAACTTCCTTCTCTTTGCCCCTTTGCTTCTCTCGGAAACGCTGGATCCGGGGTGTGAGTTGAATCCCACCTGCTATGACCTCCAGGTTCTTCTTCCAGCTCCTTTCTCCCCATCCTCCTGAGGACATGCCTAGGAAGAGTTCCAAGGAAGCCGTTGACATGGAAGAGGCAACGGTGGCTTCAGATGGCAGTCACAAGGGCCTGGCACACACCCCTAGTGTAACTTATGACAAATACTCACGTGCTATATGTACATATACATGTATGCGGGTAAGACGGACTCTGCCAGGTGGCGGATCAGTGCAGTGTGTTTGTGTCACGAACAACAGAGGTGGTGTCTCTTTAATACTCTCTGGCCTCTTGAAACTGCTTGATATAATCTTCGTCCGAGGGGCTCTCTGTGCACTTCTGTCCGTTGTTGGGAGGTCGGGCCTCGTTATACCTGCTCCAGTCGCCCTTGCAGATAATCCAGGGCAGGATGTCCACCTTGTAGTGGAGCTCCGCTGAGAATTCAGTGCTGATGAGATTGGGCGTCCCCGCCCCTTTGCCCCTGGTGATGAGCTGCATGTTGTCGCCATAGCAACAGTGCTGGGCGGCCAGTGTGGTGCTCTCCAGGGACAGCATGGAGCGAATGCAGTACCGGGCCGTGGGCTTGTAGATCTCCAGCTTCTCCTTGGGCCCGCTGGCATCCTTCCAGCGGAAGTCCTTGCGCTTGATGCGGTCGAAGATGTCGGCCGTGCTGTAGGCCACCTCGGTGGGGTAGGAGCAGGGGCAGCTGGGCAGGTCGTTGATCACCTTGTGCATGTACTTCTTTAGGAACTCGCTCTTGCAGCTCATCCAGCGCTCACAGCTGTCCGTGTCTGAAAGGGGCCAGAGAAACCCTCTGATCGCATGCAAAACCGGCTGCCTGATGACTTTAAAGTCCACCTCTCCCTTCCCTGACGGGCAGCCCCTGGAACCCCCAGGCCATCGGTGAACACGATCATGGCCCTTGAACTTGGGAACTTTGTTCTCGGCCCCACCAACTCCTTACTTTATATTATGAAAACTTTTCACATACATAGAAAAGTGGAGAGAATATACGTATACAATGACTACCCAGATGCCATCACCTAGACTTAATCATTGTATATCCCTCATTAAAATTTTTTTGGAAAGATATGATATTATTACCCCTAAGTTTTAGTAGGCATCTACAAAAATAGGAGGATAATTAAACCATATTTTCTATGTTTTCCTAGATAACCATAACCCCATTATCACCCATAACAAAATGAACAATAATTCAGAGGGCCATTTTGAATCTCCTCTCTAAATAAGCGATGAGTGGCGGAGAATGCCTCAAAGGGATATTTGTAGGACTAAGTTTTATTTCTGCCACTCACTGACTGGTTTAAACTAGGCTAGTGGCCTAACCTCTTAACCTTAGGCAGGAAAGAGTTAACAACCGTTACATGTAAATCCCTGTGATAAGAGGTCTCAAAGAGGAAGAGGCTGGTGGTCCCTGCTTTTAGGGAATTTAATATTTAGGCCAGAGGACACTGACCTATAGACTTTGAGCCAGAACCTGCCCCAAGAAGTGTGTAGTGTTTGGCCTTACAGTATTAAAAAATATTGAATTAATTGCCAACGTTTAAGAATTATGTGATTCCACTTATTAATGTAGATTCCTGGTTTCATTTGAAAATCCCAAAGATAGGTTGACGTCAGTCCTGCATTGCCTTGTGAACAGGTAACCAGTGACCACTCCTTGGTCAAGACAGGAGGTCCCCAGTTCCCCACAGTCTCTACCTGATCCCATCACTCATGGGTGTTTGCTCTTGGTCCCTTAGTCATGAGAGTTCAGGACCTCTGGTTTAGTGAATGTCTCAGTTTGTATTTTCCCAGACCCTGAGACAAAGATGCCAGTGAAAATGGTCCTTTGGGAAGTGATTCTGGGAAACACCAGCAGGGAGCATGGAGGTGGGACAGGGAAGGGAGGGTGGCAATATGGGATGTGGATCAAACAAGCAACCACTGTAGAAACTGCAGCATCTTCCCCTTGGACCTCGGAAACCCACCCAGTGACAGGGTGGAACTTTACCCAAGCCCCGTGATTCTGGGAAACAGCCAAGGTTAAGACTTTCCCCCACCCTTGCGCATTCTGGAAAACCACTTACTGTAAGAACCCTCTTCCCCACAGGACTTGATAAGACTCACAGCTGCTGCCTTGTTTACCTATGACAAAACCAGACACAGACCCTCCAGATTCCCTTTCTTGGTCTCATAAACGATTAGCTAAACTGCTCATCCCCAATCAGAATAAAACGCATCCCAACTAAACTTTAGTTAATATTCTCCCCTTCTTTCAAGCCCCTGAACTTTTTTTTTTTAACTTTTTATTTTGTATTGGAGTATAGCCAATTAACAATGTTGTGATAGTTTCAGGTGCACAGCAAAGGGACTCAGCCATACATATACATGTATCCATTCTCCCCCAGACTCCCCTCCCATCCAGGCTGCCACATAACATTGAACAGAGTTCCCTGTGCTATACAGAAGGTCCTTGCTGGTTGCCCTTTTTAGATATAGCAGTGTGTACATGTCAACCCCAAGCTCCCTAACCATCCCTTTCCTCCACCCTTCTGTCCCTGTAACCATAAGTTCATTCTATAAGTCTGTGAGTCCGTTTCTGTTTTGTAAATACGTTCATTTGTATCATTTCTTTTTAGATTCCGCATATAAGCGATATCATATTATATTTCTCAAGCCCCTGAACTTTGACCTACCCTCTGCCTGGGCCAGCATATAGCCTCTCCTTAGGGGTCCCTACCGAAAATAGGCTGGTCTCAGGGCAGAACATTCTCTGATGCCCTATCTGATCTCACCAGCCTTCCATCCCACTGCCTCACGTGGGGTTCTTCTAGCCTTATTTAGTCCTCTGTAAAAGAAAACCCTTTCGCCTAACCCTTGAGAGGCTTGCAGGCCTATAGACACAGTGTTTTCTCTATTGCAAATTGGCCCTTTCCCTTTTGCAATAATCCTTTGAATACAGTCTTTGAAGAGAGATGTTGTTTTTTTACTTGGCGGGATCTGGTTATTATCCACTAGTTCCCATCAATCACTGGTAGGGGGCTGCTCCTGGACTTCTGGATGACCATGGATTCATGGGCTGGTGGCTCTGGGGGCCAGAGCACACCGTCAGGCAAAGAACCACAGGGGCTGCTGGGGTGTAGGGACGTGGTGTGGGCAGTGGCAGGTTTCCTATCGCGTGTGGCTCAGGAAGCTGCAGCGGGTAAGATGAGCCATATCTAAGGCTGCCCACCATGTGGGGTGCGTTAAGGGGGCCAAAGCAAAAAGTCCCACCGGTGCTAAAAAGTGTCATATCTATCAGTGCAAGTCAGGGGGTTCTTCAAGGAGTGTGTGACACCGGGCTGGCCCTGTGGCTCTTCAGGGCTGCATGGTGGCCACAAGTGTCCTGCTCAGAGCTCCTGCAAGGAAGCCTGCTGGGGGCACTTTGCTGCCTGGTGGCCTCCAGCTGTAGCGGCTGTGGATCTGCTGTGGTTTCCACATCCAGGCTGTGCTCCCCTGGGGCTGCTCTCAGTCGATGACTGAGCCTGGTGTGGGTGCTGCCCAACGGGGGACCCCTTTGTCAGGCAGCCTTTGCTGGGGGGTGCCCGTTGGCATGGTCGAGACTTTCTCAAGCTGCTTTGAGGCCCTTGCTTCCCAGTCCTCCTTCCTTCCCTCCCTCCCTTTGCAGGGGTCAGGCCTGCATCTTGGTCTGAAAGCCTTCCCTGCCTACTTCTGCTGCTTCCCCTCTATCCTTCCCGGGCTCTTCCCCAGTGAATCTCTTGAATGTCCAATCCCATCTCAGAAGGCTGGACCTGACTCAGACTACATACAAGAGCAGAGATGGGGCCGGGTGAGGGGAAGGCCATCCAGGTTGGTATTAACTGTGCAAACCACAGTTAAGCAGAAGAAGTCTGGGGGCAGGGTGCATGTTCAGTTTCCCTGGAGCAGAGGATATAGGGAAGGAAGGTTGTTAGTGTCAGGTCATGGGGTCTTCAGTGTGGTTTAGGCTCGTTTCAGAGGGCACTAGGGAACCACGGAAGGTTTCTGAGTGACAGTGAGCTCTTCACTGAGCTATGCAGTAGGAAGAAAGATTCAGTGCTGATGTCAATTTTAAGAGTCCAGGTGAGATACTCTGGGAGGGAACAGCTGGTGAGATCAAGAGTAGTCAGGGAGGTAGGGCTGCCAGGCCTTGGTGGGCTTGGGGGGAAGGGAGGAAGGTATCAGAAGTGACTCTCCAGCTCTGACCCAGGTGCCTGGGAGGCTGGTGGTGTCATGGGTGAAAATCAAATGATCAGGCTTGCGGGGCAGCTTGCAGGGGTGCTCAGGTTTCTCTTGAGGGATATGAGAAAGAGAGAGCTGGGGCACCTCCCAGGAGCTTGGAAAGGCCTGGTCTAAGATGAAACACCTGGGCTCTTCTGCCAGACTGCCTGGGATCGAATCCCAACTCAAGTATTTAGTGGCTCTGTGACCTTGAGCAAGGTGTTCTACCTCACTGTGCTTCAGTTTTCTCATCTCTAAACTGGGTATAAAAATTACACCGATCTCAAAAAGTGCGATGAGGATTAAACCAGAGGGAAAGCAGGGAGTCCACAGAACAGGGTTGAGGATGCTGCCTGCGGGGGTGGGCTGAGTGCTATGATTCCACCCCTGAGAGTCCCTGACTGAGCAGTTGCATAGAGATTGGAGGGTCCATCCTGGAAAGTATGTGTCTGCAAAGCCAGTGGGGGTCTCCCTCAGAGGGCAGGGTTTTCAGAAACAAAATTCAGCGAGGTCCCAGAAAATAGCTTTGTATTTTTCCTCCAGAGTAGAAGGTCATCATAATTCATGTACAGGACATAGGTCCTTCGACTTATTTTTTATCAAATTTATATGGAGTATTCAGTGTGAATGTTCTCAATGTTTTACAAGCATTAACTCATTTCACTCTAAAATAGGTCTAGGAGGTAGGCACCATTACCTTAGACCATTTTACAGGTCAGAAAACTGAGGCAGAAGTAGGTTAAGAAACTTGACCTTGTGCTAGTCAAGCTTTTCTCATCTCTGCTGGGCATCTTCCGTTTGTCCTTCTACATCCTTATTCCACATTTTTCCTTGCCATGGAAGGCTGCCCTGTATGCACCAGATCTGTGGGCTCCCTGAGCCCTGGTTTCTAATTGGGGTGAGCCAATGGGAGGACCGGGTGAGGGACCAGAGGGAGGGAGGAGCGAAGTCAGGGTATTGTTCCCAAGGCTCCTCCCTCACTGTTACAAGTTGGCTACTTCCTTCTGGGAGCTGGAAGTGCTGTCAGGCAGCCCTCTCTACACAGTGGCTCTGGGAACCAATCCTTCCCTTGGTCCCTTCAGGCCAGTGGGAGGTAAGGGCTCCCCACGCTTGCCAGCCCCAGGGTTCTGTACAAGCCCTTCTTGGTTTCCATCTACCTGCTCACACCTTTGCCAAAAGGCCCTCATCAAATGCTCCTCTATTACCTGATCTGCGTGTGAGCCTTGTCTGTTCCTGCCCAGAACCTGCCTGACCCACCATCCCCCCTCATCCCTGTGTGTTCTCAGCTGCCCATTGGGTGCAGCTGGTCCCATTCCCTGTGAAAGGGCAAACAGCTGCCTGCCTGTGGGGTGAGATATGGGGAGGTCTGAGACGCTCTCTTCCCCAAAAGCCCATCTTGTTGTTTTATCATTTTATGCAAAATTCCCGCATGTAGTCTTTAATTTTTTTTTTTTTTTTTTCGGTCAAATGCATTGTGTGTGCAGAAGGCTCCTGCTAACGTTTTGGTTGCATGTGAAGGACTGTGACGGAAACCCCGGGCAACAGAATTTCCAAACTGACTCCAGTGTGGCTGAGGAGGGCAGAGTGAAGAGGTGAGGAAAGGGCTTTGCGGGGGTGGCAAAAAGAAATGGGGCAGAAGGAGTCTTATTGTTCTGTAATATAGAATTACATCCAGAAGCACGTGGAGCTATTTTTATTCAGCAAGCATTCCCCTTGCTGAACAGACACTTTCAATTGTGTTTGGTCCACGTTCAGTGTACTTGAGCTAGCGTTTTCGAGCAGATCAGTAGCAGGGTGTACCGAAGTTACGAAAGATTCACATGGCGGGGAGTGAGATGGGGGAGGCATAATGTCGAGAAAGTTCCCATTCTCTTCCTTCCTCCCCCCGTCCTTCTGCTGGAAAACTGACATCACCATTTCTTGATTTTACTGGGGACACTGGGTGAGAGTTGGGAGAAGAGATGCCCTGAGGCTAGAGGCCCGAGTGTGGACGGATCCCGAGCTAGGGGCAGGGCGCCCCACCCACGTGCTATGGATGCTGCGTGGCTGGTGTGGCAGATACAGCAGGGCTGCTGGGCTCCATCTGGTGCAGGAGGAATGGGGCGGCTGCTCTCTTTCGCTTGGTGTATATTCAGCGAGCAAGAAGTATGCTGAGAAAATTGGACCCCGTAAGAGGAAAACGAAACATTTAAATGGATCCAAGGATGGCACGGCAAAGGCAGAAGGAATCTCCAAAACGCTAGATCAATATTTGGATGGAAAAGCAAAAAAAAAAACAAAAAACCTTTCCTTACCAACTTCGAACAGTTTGGTGGCATTAAACTCTTCACTTCCTGCAAGCAGACTCACTTCGGTGGCAGCTGTCCTGAAGGTGTCTTCGATACCTAAACACAGACAGGAGCTCATTTTCCCTAGTTACATGGAAAAAGTCAGCCCTCCACCCCACCCCACCCCCCCCCCCCTGGCAAATAAAAAAAAAAAAAAACACTTGAATAAAGCCTTTTTTGTATTCATTACTACTCACGGGCAGAAACTTGCCAACCGAGGAAACAGTAAAAAGTAGGTATAGAGCGTAAAATATATTAAAACTCCAGATACCATGTGCAGCATGAAATCCGATCCAAAAGTGCCTGAATGTGCCTAAGGAACTCATTCCTTGGGCCTAGGAATGGGATTTTGGGCGGTACGGGATACGCGTCAGGATGGCTGTCTATCTAGAGGTGTCAGGATGGCAAACTAAACTAGAGGCTGTAGAGTGTAGTGGTTAACAACTTGTCTCGTGGTCAACACAAGTCTTAAGGCCTGACTCACTGGGTCCAAATCATTACTAGCTGTGTGACCTTGGGCAAGCCCTGGAACATCTGTGTGACTCAGTTTTCACATCCGTAAATGGGGAGGACCAATGACCCACCTCATAGTGCTGAATGAATTAAATGAGTTATGTGTAAAGAAAGCACATAGAGTACCAAGTGGTAAGTGTTGGCTGACATTTTCCCCTTGAACATTTGTCTAGTTCATTTTGAGGATACAGCAGTCCGTAGCTAAAGACCAGATCTCTCATATGCTGGGACTTTTAGCATTGCTGATGACGTTTCAAAAAGAATAAGCTGGGGGAGCGATGAATTGGGATTAGCAAATGCAAACTATTATATATAGAATGGATAAACAGCAAGGTCTTACTGTGTAGCACAGGGAACTATAGTCAATATCCTGTGATAAACCATAATAGAAAAGAATATGAAAAAGAATTTATGTATATGTATAACTGAGTCACTTTGCTGTACAGCAGAAGTTAACACAACATTGTAAATCAACTATACTTGAATGAAATAAATTTTTTTAAAAAACCCAAATTCAACGTTGAAAAAAAAAAAGAATAACCTGGGCTTGTTATTACTTGCTCTGAGCAACTGAACCTAGCTTGCCTCAAACTTCCTGGCTCTCTCCCTTCCTCAAATGACCACCCCCACCCAGGCTTCCTTTGCATACAGGAATCTACTGCAGATGGGGGCCAGTCAGGAGAGAGAGGAGCAGTGGAACGTGCTATTTGTTGGAGAACCTTGACTGTCTTGCTAAGCATGGGTTGATTTCCTTTAAGGGGCTCTCTCTGGTTTTATGTGAGGCCCCTAGAACTTGTGTGGTCAGCCTAAGGGACAAACTTTTACAGTGTAATCACTGACAGGCCAGGGAGACGGCCTGTCCCATGAGTTTTCCCAGTAGAGCTGAGAATCAAGATACCAAAAAAGGAAAGAGATCCTGCAAAAGGAGATCCTTCATGTTCAAGGGAGCCTTGAAAAGCTGGAAGAGTCAAGAACAGAAAGGCAGAAAGTATGGAAGGAGGGCAAGTTCAGATGAGAAGAAAACGTATGAACAGGGCTGCTGGCCATGCTGCTCTCAGTAGTGAGAGAAAACGAGAAGGAAACATTCAAAATGGCGGCAGGGAAGATACCTGCTATCAAGATATCTAGGTCTACTGCTTTAGGTCTGGGTGCCAGCTCTGGGAGAGAAAGCAGCAAGCAAGCCCGCTCAAGCCCTGACATTAAATGCTGTCTGTATTCACGTGTGGCTGAGCCCGATACCCTTCCCCTTGACAGAGGTGTAAGAATCTAATGGTTAAGAACATGGATTCTGGAATCAGACTGCCTGGATTCAAATCTCAGCTGGACCACTTGCTGCCTGTGTGACTAGGCAAGTTAGCCTGTGTGTCCCAGTTTCCACAGCTGCCAAATGAGTACCATCATCAATAGCTAGTTCATGAGGTTATTGTGAGGATTAGATGAAGTAACACACATGCAAAGACCTTAGAAATTTGCTTGATACTTAAATACTCAAAAGGTCCTACTCTTCATGAACCTCGTTATCATCTTTTTTCCGTCTTCATCTTCCCAATCTTCATCTTTATCTTCACTTTCTTTGGTTTCATCTTATCTTCATCATCATCTTCTTCTTCTTCTCCTCCTTCTCTTCATTTCTTCCTGCCTTCCTCCTCTTCTCCCTTCTCATAATATTATTATTTATTGATTTCTACCCATCCAAATCCCATCCCACCAGACTTCTAACTCAGCTTCATTATGATGAACACGGGAAAGATCAGGACAAGCATCTTGATGGTTGTTCCACTTTTGGAAATCCACCTGCATGGCTGACGGGGGCTAGAAATGCCTCTTCTCATACCATCAGCCCTGTTTTCTGCACACACCCCTTTGCTATCACACACATCGCCAATCTGATCTTCTCTCTCCGCAGAAATCCCTTTGCTCTTCCACTTTTTTGTTCTAAATCTCAGCCTGAGAGATTTAGAACAGAGTTTCTAGGGGTAGAAAAAGGAAGTCTGGGGTGTGGGGTTCAAATGTTCTGCCTCTGAAATTTCTTTCGGAGGAAGCCATTGGGAGCGTGTGATTTCTTGGATGAGCCCGAGATAGTATTTTAGGCTCGTTTTCTACCTGACCATGGGGAACACATGGTAGATGGAAAACTATAGACCAAGGAGTTGGTAAACTTTTATGTAAAGGGTCAGAAAGTAATTATTTTAGGCTTTGTGGTTCACATATGGTCTTTTGTTATTGAAGTATAGTTGATTCACAATGTTGTGTTAATTTCAGGTGTGTAGCAAAGTGATTCAGATATATATATACAGGTATATATATATATATAATTTTCCATTATAGGTTATTACAAGATATTGAATATAATTCCCTGTGCTATACAGTAGGTCCTTGTTGTTTATCTATTTATATATAGTAGTTTGTATCTGTTAATGCCAAATTCCTAATTTATCCCTCCCTGTTGGTAACTGTAAGTTTGCTTTCTATGTCTCCGAGTCTATTTTTGTTTTGTAAATAAGTTCATTTCACATACGGTCTTGGTTGCATATTCTTCCTCCTCTTCTCTCTCTTCTTCCTCTTCTTCCTTCTTCATAACCCTTTAAAAATGTGTGGGCCATACTGATATGGGCCGTGGTTTGATAACTACTGCTATAGACACAATTATTTTTCACCCCAATATGGCCTCTCACCAAGTTTGTAATTAGTTAAGTTTTCAAAACACTGACAATGCAGTTTAAAGTGATACTTAACTGCCAAGTTGCCCCAATTTGCTCCCTCTGGAGCCTTCAGCAACTCTCAGGCTAACACATGGTTTTTCTGTAGACGGCCATTAAGCCTCTGGTCCTGGCTTCCTTATTAGACCATGAACACCTGTCTTCATGTGTCTCTTCAAGGTACAACCCACCCCACATCAAAGGCTCAAATTAACCAGAATCCCTCCTTTAAATTAAGTACATGGTGGCATTGTCTTCTAAGTCACAGTTACTGCAATTGTGTATAAGGCTCAGAAAATCCATCTTTTCATCCACTAAGCTCATTACTCGTCTCTTGTCCCAGTCCAGTCAGAATTCTTAGGAAAATAGTTGCCCTGTAGGAAGTCAATTTCTATAAGTTTTTAAATATAAACTAGAAGCTTCCCCAGACTCACAGATATAGAGAACAAATTAGTGGTTACCAGTGCGGGGGGGGGGGCAGTATAGGGGTTGAGGGGTGGTAGGTACAAACTATTGGGTATAAGCTAAGCTACAGGGATATATTGTATACAACATGCGGAATATAGCTAATATTTTGTAATAACTGTAAATGGAGTGTAACCCTTAAAAATTGTATTAAAAGATAAAACAATAAAATTAAAAAAAGCTGCCCTTTAATGTGGAGCCACACCCCTGCGTAAACCCACCTGGGCAGTTTGGACGGTCACACGTCCTAGATTCGGTTGCAGTGCACGCATAGCCACAAGACCTGGTCCGTTTCTGGTTGCCGTTCCCACAGGTGACGCTGCAAACAGACCAGAGACTCCAGTCTCCCTCACCGTCTGTGGAATCTGGAACGGAACCAGGGAGGTGGTCACCAGCCTTCGCCAAAGAGTCCCCAAATCTCCCCCATTGAACTGCCAGCCAACTGTCCATTTCTTACGTTCCCACTGTTAGAGGGGGCCAGATGCCAGCTGAAGTCAAAAGCCTATGGCTCCAGGGTTCATTTTAAGGATTAGCTTAGTAATGGCAGGGACTCTGTCTGAGGTTTTGGGCACATGGCCAGGGCCTGCCCCCTAGAAGGTGCCCAGTAAGTGCTTGTTGAGAATGTGTACATTCACAGAGTATGGAGCCATGGAATAATATGGTAAGGATTTTCCAAAATGACCACCATCAGTTCCTTCACACACAAAGAGAGGAGTCACACGAAGGGCCCCCAAAACACTACACATGGGAATGAAGCCCTCTTGGACCTTCCAGGCACTTCTCAGTGGACAGCTGATGCCATTGGCAGTAGAAGAGATGCCCAGTGGGGCCCCACCTGAACTCCTAAGCCACAGAATCATGAGAAATAATACACTGCTGATGTTTTAGTCACCAAATTTTGGAGTGGTTTGTTATGCAGCAGTAGATAACTGACACATAATGGTAAAGCTAGAAATGGTCCTTGAGGTCATCACTCAACATCCATTCAACAAATACTGAGCCCCTATTATGTGCCAAGCACAAATCAGGGTATGTGAGATATATCATTAAATAAAGCTTTCAAAGGTCTCTGCCCTGTGGTACTAATATTTTTGTGAGAAGATTCAGACAATAATCAATAAACACAAAAAAATGAGTAAATTATACAATATATCAGAAATCGATGAGTGGTATGGAAAAAGGAGAAGTGGACCAGACTAGGGGGGCCTGGGAATGTGAGAGCCGTGAGAGAGGTTGGTATGTTATCTAGACTAACTTCCTCTTTTAAAAAGTAAGGAAACTAAGTCCTGGAGTGCTTGGGTGACCCATTCAAGGTCATAAGGGTAAGAGGAAGGAAAGCTTGGGCCCTGGTGCTAAATCCTTGATCTCTAAAGCTTGACCTTTTCTGCAGCAACTCCCCTCTGAACTACTTTTTCCCCCTTTATCCAAATCTTCCTCCAGATTTGGGGCCTCTGCCAGGGCCAAGCACAGAGCCCCGGACATGTGCATCGCAGGGAAGGGGTCCGCTCTGCTCAGAACAGGTCGCGGTGATCATTATTACTTAGGTCTGGCAAGAATGCAGTCCACACATGTTTCTACCTGGAACTTGGGCCCCGTGCCAGGCTCCCAGGCCGTTGTTTACAGGGTGATCACTCTGAACGCTGCTCAGGCAAACCCAGGGCCGCTAAGTCTCAGCCCATCATGCAAAGTTGGTGGGGGGATTCCTGGTCCTCTTTCCTAACCCAGAGCCAAGAGTCTGCTCACACCTCACCTGCTCCCAGGGGCCCCATCCGTTTCTCCCCACTTCCCAAAAGGGAGTTTTCCAAACTTTGATTTCTTTCTAAGACATGGTTTTCCAACCACAGGGACAAGCAGATGTTTGAAACTACTGCCTCGTGTGAGAGAGGTGGGCCTGCTTCCCCCCGTCAGCTGCCTCCGTCTCTCCCATCTCCTCCTGGGCGTCAACGTAGTGGAACTGGACAGACCGCTGAGGAGGGGGCCGTGGCTACTCCCTCCCAGACCTCTTGGTAAACTCTCCGAGAACACGAGGGATGTGCCTGGAACAATCACAGGATAGCACTCCTGTCAGCCGGTGTATCCATGTGTAGCGGGTTATACGCACATGTGAACACACTCAGAGCCTCCTGTGTGAATCACCCGTACCAGATTTTGTTAAAGGGAACAACCACCACACCAAAAAGTCACCAGTAAAGATGGTACTGTTCTTAGACTCATAAGAAGGGGGCAGTGGGTCAGTCGGAAAAAGCTGATTATATCACACAGGTAGAGTCCCTGTCACCTGTGGGGTGGGTACTGGCCTAAGACATGATCCAATGATGCCAAGAGGTGTCCTGCTTGGCTCAGTAGAAGCAACGGGGCCTCAACTATCTAGAAATTTCTGGCGACCTTTCCCCCCGGTGCAATAATTTTGGGAAATATCGTCCCTGAACTTTGAGATTTTAGCATTAAACACACCATTTTGGAATCTCTGCCGGAGGTAATGTCTTATTTTGGTTTCTTGGATCTGAATTACTGAATGCTAATACTGTGTCTGATGATGTGAAAAATGACTTCCATAATTCTTCTCCCTGTATCCACCCCCTTGGTTACTACCTTTTCACACCAACCCCAGTCTGGGCCATGTGACTTGCTCTGGCCAATGAGAAAATAGCAAGTATAATGCAAACAGAGGCTAGAAAAGTGCTTGTGCATTAGGGCTTGCCTTCTCACTGTAGAGAAGTCTTCCACCACCACATGAAGAGCCTGGACTAGCATCCTGGAGGGTGAGGGACCAGGAGAAGAGAGGCCCAGATATCATCCCAGCACCCCCCCGCTGTCCAGCTGGGACCCCAGCATTGTGAATGAAGCCATGCTAAACCGTGCAGCCCCAGCCAAGCCAGCCCTGAGCAGAACAACAGTCCAGACAATCTTCAGACTCTTGAGAGAGAAGGCATTTGTTCTTTTAAGCCACTAAGTTTTAGGGGCGGTTTCTAAAGCAGCAAAAGCTAACTGTCACAAATACACTATAACAACCCTCCCTATGCTATGCTCTCTGGATGGCTAGCAGACCCTGGAACCATGACAGATTTATTACTTCACTAAGTGGCTGCCTCCATGTCTTTATTTTATTTATTTATTTATTTATTTTCTTTTTAAAGATCCAAATCACATTTAATGAGATTAAAAACTACTAAACCTGAGGTTTATTCATTTTTTAATGGATAGGATTAATGGCAGATTCAACACGGCAAAAAAAAAAAAAAAGATTGGTAAACTTGAAGACATAACGATAGAAACTATCCAAAATGAAACAGGGAGAAAAAGATGGATTAAAATGAACAGAGCATTGATGAATTGTGGAACAACCTAAAGCATCCAAATACACATGTAATTATAGTCCCCAAAGTGGGAGGGCAGGGGTGGAAGTGGGGGTAATAGAAAAAATATTTGAAGAAATAATGGCCCCATATTTCCCAAACATAATGTAAACTGTAGACCCACAGATCCAAAAATGCAACAAACCCCTAGCACAAGAAACATGGAAAAGACCACACCAAGGCCATGTCTTTATTTTAAATGCTCACAAAGTCATTTATTTTCCAAACATTTTAAAATACTGCTCCCCCAAAGTTAGGCACAGAACATGTATACAGCCACGTGGCTGATCATTTCTATTGGGCTAGCAACGAAGTGAAACAACCTCTTGGGGAAAAGTGGGCACGTCAGCCCTTTCTCTGGAAGTGTCTGTGGCATACAGCCCCCGACAAACACCCCATCCAAGCCCCTCCTCGTGGGGATTTCTATTTGTTTAATGTGTTTGCGGGAGAGAAAGGGAATTTCTGACTGAGGGACAAAGCTTTGAGGGCAGTATTCCTTTCTCCTATAATAAAATAAGCCTGTTCTCATTGGCTCACCTACCAGGGCATCACTCAGAGCAGAAGATGAACTTGAGCTGCAGTAGTTACAAAGATGACAACAAAGACAGCAGAAAACAGTCCCTGTGAACATTTCTGTGGTGCTTAGACAGCCCCTATCTGTGACATCAAAGAGCTTGGTGAGGGCAGAGAACAATCCACAGGGCAGTGGGCTGAGGGCTGGGTTACAGGGATGTTGTCTGAAATTTTAAAGTGGTCATTATATACTTTCAGGGCACTAGAGTTCTGTGGGCCAGTTATAGTGTTTGGGCAACTGAAGTGACTTGGGTCTTGGCTCGGCCATTGGAAAGCCTCTACCCTAATCCTAGATGATAGTGGCTGCCAGTTATTGAGGGCCTGTCCTTAACCAGCTCCTCTGTCAACACACCCTGATTGAACTCCTATAACAATCCTGCAAGGTAGGTAGAAACACTCTCCTTTTATGGATAAGGAAACTGAGGCTCAGAGAGGTTAAGGTACTTGATTAAGGTCACACAGCTCAAACTTGGCAGAGCTGGGAGTAGATCTGAGATCTGCCCACTCTGGCCATATCCTGTTCTATATCCTGATATTCCAGCAACTTTGATTCCGGCCCCAGCAGCCCTTCCTTAAGATACTCACTTATGTGGCCATAATTTAACGTTACAAAGAAAAACCCTTGCAAAAAATCACTGTGGGATCTATTAAAATAAGACCACGACCCGTCAGAGAATTGCAAAGGACTGAGTCCCAGCCCACACTAAGCCGTGTCCATCTGATTTCATTATGCAGGTTATTCAGAGCAATCTGGGGAATGGTATACTACTATTTGAAAGAAAAATATTTATTTGGACTCTTTCTTTGCCCTGGATGATACCTTAAGTATCTCAAACACATACGGTCCAAAGTTGAGCAGACTCAATCACAAATTCGGTCTAACTGTCTTCTGTTGTGTATTTTATAATTTATTCTACAGATGCTGTTATGTTCTACTTATTCATCTAGGATTTTTTGAAATACTCTTTGGCCACAGACATTTACATTCTTATTAAAAATCCTACCTTCAAATATTTGAGATAGACATCTTCCACTCAGGCCAGTTCCTGTGGCAATTGTAGCTGTTCTCAGACGAGGCAGCCAGTCCTCAGGTTCAGTGACGCGCCCTGCTTTGCCACTGCATGGACCTCACCTTCCTGGGCTGTATATTCTCTCCTTGTATCCTCCACAGCACCCGACACAAGGATAAATACTTAGAAATTGCTCTATACTTTCTTGTTGATTGAAATAAAAGAGGACTTAGCTCATCTGATGCTGTAAAGAATTCTGGAAATCACATGTTCCCTGTGACTCGGACTGACAAGCAGTAATTATTCATCCATGTTGCAAATGCTACTGAGTTACTGTAGCGTGTAAGCTACACACCTATGGTCTCGCTTCTAAAAGTGTGGTCTGAGGGCCCGCAGTGTCAGCTTCACCAGGGCTCCTGGCCCTTTCTGGCATCTACGGCTTCAGAAGCTGCCTTTACCAAGAGCCCCAGGTGATTTCTGTGCACATAAAAGTCTGAGAAGCAGTGCTTTAGAGGTATGATAAGGGACAAGATTTTCTTTATAAAGTAGCAATCCTGATGTCTAGTCTAACGACGGTGACGTTACTAAAAGAGACTCTAAAATCATCAAAGATGGGAGTTTCCCCATGACCCAGGGATGCTGTAAGATCCAGATGCAGGGCACTCACTCCCCAGGTATTATAGATCTAGAAAGCTGGGGTGAAGGTGGCTCTGGTAGCCACAGTAATTGCCCCAGCAGAAGCAAATTCTACCCTCAAGACTGAAATGGAGGGAGTATTCTTAATGTTCATACATTTGGCAGAATATATTCTGTAAAAGCTTTAGATGAAAAAGTTGTTTCTAAGTAGTGGTCTCCAAACTTTAGTAAGCATGAGAATCACCTGGTGACCTTGGTTGAAAAAAGAAATAAACAAAAGCCAAGAAAGACCCCAGGTCTCACTCCTGTATATTCTGGTTCAGCAGAAGGACAGCAGTGACCCTTGACCTGGACTTCACATTGGAGTCACCCACAGAGCTTTAAAAAACACTGATGCTTGGGCTCCACCCCCAGAGATCCCAAGTTAATTGATCTAGAGAGAAGTCCAGCCATCGGGATTTTAAAAAAATTGCTTAGGTGCGTATGAGCAACCATACTAAGAAACACTGGTGCTTTGGACCCCACTGTTTCAGATCAGAGCCTGCTGGAGGGCTTGTTCAAACAGATTTTTGAGACCCACCCCAGAGAGTCTGATTCAGTAGGCCTGGAGTGGGGTCTGAAAATTTGCATTTCTATCACGGTCTTGGGTGATGCTGATCAACTGGCTTGGGAGACACACCTGGAAAACCATTGGTATATAGGGAAGGGGCTGGGGCCCAGGATGGGTGTTAAATTTTAACAGGCAAAGGAGGGATTCTGAGGTCCAGGGTCTGAGCCCCAGTCAGAGAGACCTTGTTCCATGTGGCTTGGGCAGACAGGCTCAGCTTTAGTCCTGAGCCCAGGTTCAGTTCCACCCTGACCTTTTCCTCCCATTCCTATCTTCCAATCTAACTGTCTCATTTCTAAATACACTTTACTGTCCTAAAAGATGTGCTATTTATTTATTTTTCCAGAGAGGCAGAATAACATAGTAGTTAAGAGGACAGACTCTGGACCCAGACTGTCTGAGATGGATCCTAGGTCTTGACCCTTGAGTTCAAAGTTGTTTAACTTCTCCAGGCTTCAGTTTCCCCATCTGTAAAATGGGTCCCTGCCTCAGTGAGCTGATTAAATGAGCTAATCTGTGAGAGCTGCTATGAAGAGGAACTGTGAAAGGCAGGTGCTGTAGAAAGGTTGGCTACTGTTCCCAATCCTTTGTCTTGGAAAATAAATTGGACCTCTTCTGGGAAAGGAGAAGGTTTTACAAGCCTCCTGATTGGGTGGGGTCTGGGAGCTCTCTTTCTGCTCCCCTAGCATTTGGTGTATATCTCTGCTGTGGCACCCTTTGCTCTATCAGTTAACTTTTCTCCTTTTGTCCATAGATAGGTGAGATGCTCTTTAGAGAAGGACTGTGTCTTAATCAGTTTTGGATTCCCGGAACCTAGCACAGTGATGGGCATAAGACGTGTTCAATGTCAGTTGAACAACTAAATGATGTGGCTGGGAAAAAAATGGTCTTACTCTTTTGGAAGTTGCCTAGGATCATCTATTAGCAGGTAGAAACAACTCTCCAATATACAACTGGTCTTTCTGCTGAAAAATGGGGGTAAGAGTGAGAATGCAAATGGTGCTAGACAAGTCATCCTCATAGAGTGTTCGCTTAAGTCTGCTGAGGCTGAACCACAAGAACATCACGATGGTAGATGCATTTGTAAGATATCAAATACTCTCATTATAACACAAGGCACACTGCCTGATTCCTCCTGAAGCCTGGCCAGATGCTTTCTGAATCTGTTTCCTCTTCATCTAGGACACACAGAAACCATTTCCCAGCCTCCCTTGCATCTACGTGGGGCCATATGATGAGGTCTTGCCGATAGAATTTGAGCAGATGTGATGTGTGTCATCTCCAGGCTGAGGGGGTTAAGAGCGTGTGTGCCTTTTCTAGGCTCTATCTCTCTACTGTCTTCCAGCCAGATGCAGAGCATCCAGTGGATAATTTGCAGGCCCTTACAGTTGGTGGAGCTTCAAGATGGAAGGAGCCTGGGTCCCTGAATGACTGAGTGGAGCAGAATTCCCCAGACCCTGTCTCCCATCCCAGCTTAAGTGAGAAAAGAACTTTCATGATTTTAAGTCATTGAACTTAGAAATTGCTTGTTATCTCAACTATCCTACTCTAAAAGCAGGGGAAACTATAAGTCCCAATTTGGGGTCTTGAAATTTACTGGTGGGGAGGCCTCGCTTTGACAACTCGTGACATACATGTCCATGAGGGTTTCCAAGGGCCACTCCACTGCCTACGATAAACATAACACAGTTGCCTGGTCAAAGGAGACAGCGGGGTACATCTCTTTTACTAAGTTGATTTTTAGTATGAATTTTTACAGTCAAACATATGAGGAAGTGAACTTGGTGATTCTGTCATTTTGGAAAAAAAGAAAAGAAAATTTTTGGGAAAAAGAAGGCAGAACCTCTAAGACCCCTAACTGAAAAAAAAAATTCTCTCCTAGGATAATTGGTATTATTTTAAAATTATAGTCTTTCCAGAAAAATGTGGCTTTGGGGGCCTCTTGGGGCTTCTGTGGACAGAGCGGACAGAGTCTGTATGAGGTCTGCCTCACTGAAGACCCAAAGCCACACACTGTAAACGGGCTTTTGTTTGGCTCCACGTCTGCTGGGCCTCATCGTCTCATTTATTCTCCGCACCAATTTTATATTACTGGGTGGTAGACTCACCATATTCTGGCTGCTCTTTGGATTCAAAAGTCCGGTGGCCTGGGGCCGGACGGTCCCACCCCCCAGGGGGGTTGAGGAAGTTGCTGTCGTCTGAGGTACTGTCGTACTTGTAGTCCTGGTCCCCGCCGTTGGCCCTTGCCAAGGACAAGGACCTCTGCCACCAGGCCCGCCAGTCGGGGGATGGGACTGACCAGCTGGGCTTATTCTCCGGATGCTGATCTTTATCTGCTTCAGAGTCAGGACCGTCCACCACCTCTATGGTGACCTGAAGAATTCAGAACAGGCCAGGGTCAATGAGGAGTCAACAGCCTCTAAGCCGGGTGACCCTTGGAAGACAGTCTGAGAGAACGGAGGGAAATGTGCATCCCTCACAAAGGAAAGCTGAGGCTGCACGGTGACACAGAATGGAAAACCTCCAGGGACGCCCAAAGGAACGGATGCACACGGGCCTCGGGTTGGGAGGAAGCAATGCATCACTAGGGTCCCTGATTTACTGACGACTGTGTTGCTGGGAAGCCTTTAATTCAAGGAGTAAACATGTACCGTGTATGTTCTTGAAGTGGCACAAGAATAATTAAAATAAAACTGAATGCTTACTGAGTACTAACTCTGCACCAGGGACTGTTTTAAAGGCTCTACATATATTAATTTATTTAATCCTCAGAACAGCCTTATAAGGTTGGTTCTATTGATTGGCCCTTGTGGCTGCTGATCTCCAAAGATGTCCCCGGCAATTCCTCCCATTCTGGTATGTGTGTGCCACACCTCTCATCAAGAGGTGGAGTTTGTTTCCCCTCCCTTTCAGTCTGGGCTGGCCTTGTGACTCACTGTATCCAGTAGAATGTGTTAGGTGTGACAATGTGACAAGCCTTACGAGGTCTTGCAATTTCCATTTTCATTCTCTTGGCATGTTCCTACCATTATGTACAGAAGCCCAGCCTAGACCGCTGCTCACAGAGCCGCCATGTGAAGAGGCAGGGCACATAGAGGAGAACAAAGAGTCCTCTCAGTCACTGGCCAGCTCTGAGGCCCCGGTCTTGTGTGTGGGGTCATTTTGGATCCTCCAGGCCCAGTTGAGTCACCCTAGCTGATACCACGTGGAGCAGAGATGAGCTCTCCTGGCTGAGCCCTGCTCAAACTCCTGACCAACAGGACAGTGAGCAATCCAGTGGTTGTTGCTTTAAGCTATTAAGTTTTGGGATGGTTGCTAGACAGCTTTTTATAGACAGGGAAACTGGCACACAGAGAAGTTAACAACTTGCCTAAGGTCACAGAGCTAGTAACTGGCAGCCATGGGAAGTCTAGCTCCAGAGCCCACGCTCTTACCGACTTTGCCGTACTGCCTCTCAAAAAGTCAGTCACCGAGGTAGTGTCCCCTCCTGTGACCAAGTGAGCAAAGAGGCCACTGACGCTGGTGGGGGCTGGATGCCACAAGTCGTGTAGAGATGTGAGCACAAGGTCCTCAAGGTCCAGGATGTCACAGCTTGAGCTTCACTCATCCCTAGTCCAGACCCAGCACACACTCCTTACCCGACCCTCAGGGTCAGAGCAGGTAGTTCCAGAGTCAAGGTCAGAACTTGCTCTTGGATTTATGGAGCCTAGTTTGGAAGTCACGGGGCTGAAGGAATGCAGCTTCTTGGCTTCGAGAGACAATCAACATAGAGAAACTTGTTTAAAAAACATAATAAAAGACTCCTTGGGTTCCTTTGGCCATCGCATAGCTCTTGCAACACCCCCTGGATGAGTTGTGTGCAAATGAATCAGAAACATGCGTTCCAAGTAATCAGCGCAAGATGTACTGGGCAGATGCTTTTCCAGTTTTGCCCTAACCGGACATCTGAGAGATTTGCTGACATACTCTGCCACATTGCACCAGGTCGTGCCAATCCCTGAGACAAACAGACCCTTCCTTTTGTCTTAGGAATGGGAAGGTTTGAATTCTACTTGCTTTGACATTTTAAAGAAGTTGCCCAGCTCATGGTGGGCCTGGGCTGTGGCCTTGTGTGGTCCAGTCACAAAGTTAAGGGTGTGGCCTTCCATCCCAGATTATACTTGGGCTGTGGCAGGCCGAGTGCATCTCTTCCTCTGGTGTGGGATGCCTAGAAGGGCACCACTGGCTTGCTTCCATGCCGCCACCATTACCCCAGTCTCATAAGCATCCCTTGCATATTTGTAAATAATTATGGGACGTTTAGTAATCCCCGAAAAGGAAAAAAGAAAAGAAAGAATTACATCATTTGCCTTGTATCATTGCTGTTTGCTGAAGGGATGGTTGTTGGAAAGGGACGGGGACCTGGACCCACACGCAACGCTGTAAGGGCAACGCGGAAGAAATACACCGCTGGGCTGCGCAGACCTGAGCTGGGCAGTGACGCAGTGATGCCGAGCCTTTGAAGACAACCTTTCTCCTCTGTAGTCCAGGCCCCCTGTGCCTGCAGACAGAACAACTGAGCCGCAACAATCGTCTGCAAGGCTATTAAGGGTTTTGGAGGGGAGAAGCTGCCAAGAGTCAGGCAAGCCTGCAATTATGGTAATGAAATCAGGCTCTGGGTAGGAGATAAGGGGGAATGGGCTGGACAGTTTTGGTATTGCATTTGTATCCAGACTGGAGTCAAAGGGATTGCCTAAACAAAACGTGCCCTGCAATTTCTCCAAGCTGGGAATCAAAACAATTTCATGTTTTAAGCTATTACCGTCAATATGATTTTTTTCCCCCCGCAAACTACTGCTCAGATCCAAAGAAAATAGATTTGTTGCCTGGCCAGGCAGTGAGTAGCAAAATATGAATTTACTCCAAAAACTATATTGATGACTAAATCTCATCTGTTTAGAGGTTTCTTTTTCCCCTTTCATTTTTAGCCACTGCTCCAACTGAATTAGAAAATAAAAAACACACACACACACACAAAATAAAAAACACACAAACCTTAGGATCCACCCTTCCCTGCAGTTAAGAATATGGAAACCTCATACAGACATCAAATGAAGAAATGTAATCTTGAGCCTGAAATTTCATAGGCATCCAATTAAAAAGGCTTAATGAGCACGATCATGACTTCTCGAATGGTGCGGATTAGTTTTATGTTTCCTGTCGCTCTTATTATATTTACATGTTCTTTAGCATCAAAGAATCTGTTCCTAAAAATGTCTTGAACAATAATAGGTGTGATGAGCTGAAGGTGTGGTAGTGAGCACAGCAGGTTTCCAAGCTGATAGATCTTACCATCTTTTTGCATCCTTAATACACAGAATTGAAGCATTTCTAGTACACTGGTTTCTTCTGGACTTTTCTGTACCATGAATCAAGATAGTAAAAGAAAGAGAACTTTTCCAAAAGACCCAACTCCAACTTCTGGCAGAATCTTGTCAGCTCTAAGAAAGAGAGTCTAGAATAGGTGCCAATTTGGAGAATTCCATCCAAAATTAGGAAAGGAGGATAAAATCCTTTGTAATATTACCTGTTTCTTTCTTTCTCTTGAGAGTTTAAACATTTATTAGAAATAAACTCTTTACTCTTGCTCTGAAAAGCACTTTCCACTGGGAAACTAACACAATTCTTAGTTTAACTGATAGTAAACTAATGACACTGGGAATACAGAAGCCTTGACTTTCTGAACTCAGGAGAATCTTCTAGAAGCTTCTAACTTGGTCCTCTAAGCCTCGAGAGCTATGGTGACTAGGCAGATTTGGGTTCGTATTTATTTCCCAGAGAGGAAAATGAGGCCTGGGAGGTGAAATGATTCCTCAAAAGCACAGAGCATCCGGGGACACGACGACAGTCTCCAGCAAAGGGTTAGACCCCCGATTATGTACCCCTTCTTCCTTGACAATTGCCGAAGAAAGAACACAAAGGACTAAGTAGATATATAATCCCTCCCTCTCAGACCCACTGATGCTCTAAAAACAACTCTGGCAGCTCCAGTAAGTGTGGTTAATGCTTTGAGATTTGCAGCGTGCTCGTTCAAATATCATTGCTTGTTCTACACAAGTTAAACCCACAATTCAGGCATAGAAACTGGCCTAGAGAATTCACGTTCCTGAGGTGAACAGCAAGGAAGGTGGAGAGCTGGACTCAAAACTCCTGATTCTTAATTATTTTATACGTTTCCTCTGTCATCTTCATGCTCACTGACATCACCAACCAGCATCCACCAGTCTGGGGAATCTTCCCATATTCCTGTCTCTGTGCTGAGTGCTTCGCGTGGATGATTTCATTTAATCCTCACAACAACCCTACTACTACAGAGTATTGTACTGCAGAGGTACTACTCACAGGTTGTGTTATCATTCCCATTGTATAGACAAGGAAATTGAGGCATAGAGAGGTCGAGTAACCTGCATGCAGCCATAGAGGCCAAGCCTGGTCAACAAAACTGTGGTACCAGAGCCCAAGGGCAGGTTGGTGGACTCTAGCTCATGATGGGGACTGCGGGGCCCCCATAAGAATCTGAACAATACCGGCTTGTCCCCTGGAGTGTGTGGGACCATCTCTTGGGCACAGAGATTTCTTGGTTCTTACTTGGCCAGGCCTGCCATTCCAAAAGGATTTTAGGAAAAACGGAGGAGGGGAAATCAGAAGTAGAAGCACGTACAACACCTGCAGCCCTGGCCAACTCATCTGATTGTATCAAGAGGTCTACGGCCGTGTAAATAAGTCTGTGCGAGGGGAAAAAAAAGGCCTTTAGCTGACTATTTTTGTGTCTGCCTCAATGGAAGAAAAGAAATAAATACATTGGTTGAAATGAATACAGATCTCAGATTGACCCAGAAAAGAGAACTATTTGGTGGTGAATAGCCACTGTGGTCATGAATTGATGCAGTGAGCCTAATAATGAGTTTATTTTAGAGATTTTTGTCTTTGCTATCTGACCATCAGCTGCAGACCAGAAACTTAGCCAAGGATACCGAAGTTCAAGTTGAACTTCTCCTGGGAGATTTACTTTCTTTCCTGAGTGATTTATTTATTTATTTATTCGTTGCCAAAACCCCAACTTCTAGTTTTGTTTTAAATTTAATATGGAGATTGGGTTCAGGAGTTTGAGGCTATTTCTTTCTCTTTTGTGCATTGTTTTTTTTTTCCCCTCACTCACTTCCACAGCCTGAAGCCAGTCTTAAAATGGAGAGCCCAATCCACTTGGGACAGAGGCCACCTGGCTTCAGGGGTTTAAAAAAAAAAAAAAGCTCTAAAAAGCTGGGCTTTTTAAAGGATTTCCCTTCCTAAAAGTCAAGAGGCCCAAGAGCTCAGCATTGTCACTTTGGAAAGGTGTGGGCGGTTTGGCAGGGGGGCAGAGCAGACCCCAGCCTTGGAGCGTGGGAAATGCTTGCAGACACAGGGGGGCTGGGGGGAGGTTCAGAGAGATGGGTATCAGATTCCTGGGTAGCTCCCGGCTCCAGTGAGGGCTGCCTAAGTGGGGGTGAGGGGCAGGTTGCCAGGGGATGGGGGGAGACCAGGCCAGGGGCCCTGGCAGCGGAAGCCGACCTACTGATATGCCTTCACCTGTTTTCAGTCCACTCCCCAGGGAGAGGCAATGCTTGGACGGCCCGGGGTGACCGGTGGGACTGTCTGCTTGGCTGAATCGGCCCTGTGTCAAACCAGTGGATTTCAACAAAAGACCAGAGCTCTGAGGAAGGGGCGAGGGCTGACAACGTGAAAACCATCACCCCTTTTAGAAAGCACCTCATCTTTTAAAGGACCACCGGGGAGCTGGTTTACTCAAGTGCAGTGGGGCATGAGGCTACAGCGGCCAGTGCTGCGTGTGTGTGTGTGTGTGTGTGTGTGTGCGTGTGAGAGTTTGTGTGTATGTACGTGCCCTCACACACACTCACACTCAGACCTAGGGCTGGGGCTCCCGGGGGTAGCAGCTGCGTCAGTCTTTCTTTGAGCATCTTTCTGAGTCACTAACACTCCCCTTTCATAATCTTCCAGAAAGAGAAAGGACAGGAATGCAGTTCAGTGTTCCATCATCAGATCAATAAAACATAGGCTGCCCTACCCCACCCCGCCGACTGCCTGCGGAAGGTTAACAGACACAGGGCTTGTGCAAGGCAGAAATTGGATGAACCAACTGGCCGGCGGGCAACAGGACAGCACTGGCCTGGTTTTTGATTCTGATGGCATCTGGGTTGAAGCCTCATTCGTTTCGGGTCCATTTTGCCAGAAACCCTGATATTTGGAGCAACGGGGAAACCTACACTCTTGAGAGGTATAGTGATTTATTCTGTCCAAAGGGTAACTCAAGAAACATATAGGGACGTCATAGGAGTCGCCTGGTCCCCTTCCCGCCTTGTGCTCCAAAGCATCCCTTTCCGAAGCAGCTCCTGGAGGCAAACTTCTTGTATGTGCTGGGGCGGTGCTGAGACAGAGTGAAGACAAAGTGGGGATTCCTTTGCACCTGTTAGAAGTCTATACAAACAGGTGACTGTGGGCTCAGAGGGGACAAGGATGAATGATTTCCATTTGTCCCATCTCCGCTGCCATCCTTGTGACGGCACAAGGGGAAGCTGCGTTTTATAAAAGTCCAAGAGGCTTTGTTGGAGAGTCTCAAGTGTGGTGATCTCATAACTCATCCTCCACTTATCCTCTGTTCCCTTGTCTCACTTTATAGTTCTCTCCACACCCATAAACTCCAACCACCCTCTCATCCCTCAGGAAGCCCAGCGGAACTGTTCCAAAGAACTCTTCACTTTGCGTCTGGCTAGACAACACAGCTTATTCTGATGAAAAATGTATTGCGAGCTCGGGGGTTTTACTGAGCTCATGCACAAATCCATCGCTTCATGGCTGCCCTTTTCTTTTTATGGAAAAGTCATTTGGGCTCCCCAGATCTGAGGATCCCAACCACTTTTGCCCCACTGTTCTTCCCTGACAGTCAGGTTAATGTTTTAAAAAGGCCCAAGTGGGGTCTGAGGACTTCCTGATAGATGGATTTATCTGGGAGAGAAAAAGGGGATCCTGAGAAATTTTGTTAGAAATTCGGTTCTAGGTGGAGCTCCATGCGCTTAGTAAATTTCTAATGAGGAGACTGCAGCCTTCCAGTCCCCTGCATCCAGGTCTTTTCTTGTAAGTTTACATTAGTAACTCTTAAATCGATTATATTAATAGCTCAGTCCTCAGCATTAAGCCCCACAGCGACATTTCCCATCTCTGGAAAAAAAATGCAAGCTACAGCAAACCTAAAATTGTTGTGGGCATGATCTAAGCATCCTTGGGATAAGGGTGGTTTAGTCCCAGAACCATAAAAATCTATCAACAAGGAAAAATCACTTCCTGTCAATGAAGGCGTCATGGGGAGCCTCTTTGAGCAACAGTAAGGACATGTCTGTACCTTTTTTTGCCAATCTGCACCTCCCCCAAGTGGATCCTTTGTTCTTTATCGGAGAGCCATGTGGCCAGTTCCCGGAGAGAGGGCAGTGGATCGAAAGGCCTGTTTTCCCTATTAATCAATTAGAACAGTCCAAGACTTATTGGAAATATTAATTGGTCCATGCAGTGATTTCGGCACATGGGTTGTCAAAGAGTGACCTCCGAAACATCTTTCACTTATGTACCCTCAACGCTGCCCTGCCCTAATCTTCCCAAATATCCCATCTATTCAGGTCTGTCCTCCATGGAACTCGGCGGTTTTTCTGCCTCTGTCTCCACAATCCTTCTGGCACTATCTTGGGCGGTAGCCGGGATCTTTACACCTACGTCATTTCCTGGAGGGAGAACACCTTGCATTTCTTAACTTCCCAGAAGCTAACACGGCATTGAGGTGTATTCTCAGGGACATTCAGTAGTCATAACAACACTGGCGTTAGGAGCAAAACAACTCTGGCCAAGGAAATCTGATCTAAAAGGGTGTCACACAGACAGCGTTAGCCTTGCGAGAGAGACCACTAACCTAATTATGGATCAATTGTTCCAAGGTCAGGTTCAGGAACTTTCTGCCATGGAAGCTAATTGGAATTTGATGCAGAGAAAGAATAAGGACAAGCTGCCCTTCATCCAACGAAAAGAGTTGAGGATAAACTTAAAAGTATGGAAGCAGGCACCTGAGGACTCGGGCTGCACAGGGCCAGGCTGCCCAGGGGGATGAGCTGCCCTCGGACGCCATGGGTACCGTCTCTGGGAAGAAACAGTGGGAGGCACAAGCAAAATTCAAAATGAGGAGTTTGTTTTTGAAACATGAAATGGTAGGCAGAGTATTCTTGGGAGCCTGAGAGACTGGATTTGAGCCCCAACTACTGTTTACTAGCCATGTGGCCTTGGGCAAACCAAATGGGAACTTCCTGAGAGTCAGTTGCATTATTGATAATATTGGAGGAATGACGTGGGCTCCATAAGAGTATTGGGAGAGTCAAACTGGATCCACCTTTACTTTGTAAAGTAAATTGTGCTATTTCAGCGCAGGTGAGAGTTCTTATTTTCAGTTCCAGGCACCTCTTTCCTAATCTCCCATTTCCTTCAGCGTCACCCCAGCTCATCTTAGTGATATGTATTCCTCTCTCCCCTAGAAACTTCTGTTATCACCTCCTTTCCTCTTATTAAAAATTTTTTATCAGTCATTTACACTTTGGAGCAACTGAAGTGTTGTCAGTGCCTAAAGGAATTTCTGGTGTCTAAGGCAAGCTAGAGAGGCATTTGAGAGACAGTGTCTTCCTGAGCATCTTAGAAATCACACTATGATCTGCCTCATCTACTCATGTGTCTGATTGGCCTTTCTCTATAGCTAACATATTTCATCAATTTCAGGGCATATTATTTTGTTTTGTTTTCACATTTCTTTTTTTTTTTTTTTTGATGCGGACCATTTTTAAAGTCTTTATTGAATTTGTTACAGTACTGCTTCTGTTTTATGTTTTGGTTTTTTGGCTGTGAGGCATGTAGGATCTTAGCTCCCCGACCAGGGATTGAACCCGCACCCCCTGCATTGGAAGGCGAAGTCTTAACCGCTGGACCTGCAGGGAAGTCCCTGTTTTTACATTTCAACAGCTCTGAAATCAGGATGTATCTTATAATCATTGGTGTGTCATACTCTAATTAGCACTGCTTTCTTTTTTCAGTGGTTGATAAAATAATGATGCATCTCATAATCCAGGGTGTTACACAGATGAAATACAACACTGCTCTTATAGAGATAACATGCTTGTCAGCAGGATTCATTAAGGGGTCAAGGAGAAAAGTGAGGTAAGGTAGCAGTTGCTTTGGAATCAGATCAGGAAACAAAGACATGGGCCGTTTCATTTTCTTTCACCTTTCAGTTGCTAAGCATTACCTGGATATTTGGATTCTGCCCATTGATATCAGCTTTGGAAAGATCTGGAAAGTTTGGTAGATCAAGGAGAAAGGATCTGGGGCCATCTCTTTGCAATGAAGGGGGCCCAGCCTCTTGCTGGAATTGCTGTCTGGGGAATGGTTGGTGTGCAGACTGGTGGTCCGAATGCTCCCCTGGTGTTTCTTTGGAGAGAGGAGAGCTGGTTTCCGATGTCGAGGCACTTTCCATGTTGAGGTTATTCTAAAACAAACGAACAAGCAAATGAAAAAATAAATAGGAGAGGCATGATTTAGAAATGCCACCCTTAAAAATTCAGGACAAGGACAATTTCAGGAGCTGGAATTAAGCCAGGAAGGTATTCCCAACTTGTTTTCCTTCCATGGCTTAGTTTTTCTATCTTCAAAAAGCTAAATCATCAGGAAATTTTCCTAGCCTGCTACTTGGGAATTTTCTGAGGGCTAATGTGTGATGAGATATTAATCAAACATCAAAGCATATCAACAGAAAGTGCTAATTTGAAGGAGACTAGGTGCTCATTTAGAACTGGAATCAAATTATGGTTTCCTTATCACAGCTTCAATTGATTAACCACTCTGGCTTGAGTTATAGCCCCAGTATCCAGTGTTTGTTTCTTTGGTGTGGGTCAGCAGAAGATCTGACCAAACTGGGTAAAGTACTTCAGCCAAATAAATCATTGATTATTTCTAACCATCCATCCAACCATTTTTTTCATCCATCCACTCACTAACCTATTTAACTTTCTTTCCTCCTTCCTTCAATTCTTTCATTCATCTACTCATCCATCCTTCACCAAACTGGGTAAAGTACTTCAGCCAAATAAATCATTGATTATTTCTAACCATCCATCCAACCATTTTTTTCATCCATCCACTCACTAACCTATTTAACTTTCATTCCTCCTTCCTTCAATTCTTTCATTCATCTACTCATCCATCCTTCCATCCATTTATCCGTCCATTCATCCACACAATCAACAAGTGTCAACCACATGCTAGGCACAGGAAAGCCATGAACAAGACAGGCACGGGTCCTATTCTCTTAGAGAGTATGTCTAGTTGGGGGGAATAAACAATAAATACACACATAAATAAGATCAGGTCAGAGAATGGTGATTGCTAAGAAGAAAAGGAAGAAGAAAATGAGATAGAGTGGTCAGGGCAACTTTAGATAGGTAGCTGGGGAAGACCTTCCTGAGAAGGTGACATCTGAAGTGAAACCTGAACACCTGTAATTATCTGGGGGAAGAACATTCTAGCAGAGGGAACAGCAAGTAAGACAGTCCTGAGGTAGGGATGGCTTGTCTCATTTGAGAAACACAGAGAAGGCCAGTGAGGCTGGGATGGAGTGAAGGAAGGGAGAACGACCCAAGATGGGGATGAAGAGGTGGAGACAGGCCAAGAAAAAGCGACAGAAAGGCATCCTGAAATCGAATGTCTTTATCCCGGAAAGAAAGGTCCAAGTCTGTTGTTTTTCCAAACTAGCAGAAAATGTCCGTGTTTAGTTGTCACCAGGGGACATTTTTTCCAGTGACTGGAGCGTGTAGTAGTTGCTGGACTTCTTTCTCAGAGCAGCCCTTCTTCTGCTCTCACTCTTCCTGGACCCTCTTGTTGATGTTTCCTCCATCCCTTCAGGGGCAGCATTTTCATGTTTACTGGTGGAGGGAGATGTGGAGATAGAATTTCACCAGTGTTTGGGTCAGTGGTTAATGTTCTTGTTATTCTTGGGCGTGTTTGGGGGTTTTGGAGTGAATATTCCGGCACATTGCCTCCACACACACTCCCTGCCCCCTCTCACAGCAGCGTCTTTGACCCAGTCAAGGGGTTACACCTGGTATCAAAACACTCCCCAAGGTCAAGAATGGCCTGAGGATGAAACACATGCAGTGGGTAATGATCTTATTAGAGAGCTGACCTGAGGGGATGGATTTTTCTCTCTTTGAACAGACATGGGGCTGTGAGGAATAAACTCACTTGTGCAGAGACCATGTGAATGTTCCCAGAGGCCAAGAAGAGGCTGAGCTAGAAAGAAGCATGTCTGCTGTCTCTTCCTTAACATGTGCAGTTACGGCAGGGGAAGTGGGCTGCTCTTCATCATGTCTTTGCTTGCCTTTCTCCTTTGCTCAGGAGATGTGGCCAGGGGCAGTGTCTTTGTTCACCTCTCCTGTCACCTTTCTGCCATGTTTTCATCTCCTGGCACTTCCTCCTAGGGGGAGTTGCCCTGCCATCCCCAGGCATTGCTCAATGCAACAGAGGCCAAATGTGTTATGCTGAGATTATATTATCCAGCACATAGAGAGAGAGAGACAGAGACAGAGACATACTAATTCTTTCCTCAACGTAAGACCTCTCTATCATAGCCCAGGGTAAGATAACTGAATGCAACTGTTCCCTTGTTTTTCTCCCTGGATCCTCAACAATGTTAGTAAGGACAGTTGACTTCTCATGGAGAATTTATTGCACAGGGTTTGGGAATCTAAGTCTCAGAAGGGACCCAGGATTTGCTTGTCCATGGCTTGAGGGATCCCCTGCAAATCCAGCCCTCACTTCATTATAGCAACTGGGACATACTGTTTAACTCTGTTAAAGATGGAGCTCTTTTTACTTTTCCCTGTGATGAAGCACTCTTTCTACTATGAAAACTTATATTTTATTTTATATTTGGTACTTTTGTTTTTTGGCCACACCGCATGGCATGTGGGATCTTAGTTCCCCAACCAGGGATTGAACCCATGCCCCCTGCAGTGGAAGTGAAGAGTCCCAACCACTGGACTGCCAGGGAATTCCAGAAAAACTTGTATTTTAGAAGAAGAGATAGGAAAGGTATCTGTGCTGCTTATTTGGCATTTCACTTAGACGGCTGAAAAAACAAGGACTGAATATGATGGGTTTCTTGATCTGACTCTGGAATTTTTCCTGAGAGGAGACACACTACCCCAGAGTGATCCTGGCTTAGACAGGGACCAAGAAAACCCCTTAAACTCTCTGTGGCTCAATAATCCTCCATGTAAAACAAAGCAGACGATAAGGAGAATCCCATGCTGTCCCAGCAGGATGGTCAAGAGAACTCAGGGTGGGTTGTGACTATACTTGAAAAGAGAAATGTAGAGTTAGGGCAACTGGGCTGGACGATTCAGGCCTCAAGTGCCTCTGCCGCGAAGACGGGGGCTAAAGTACATTTTGGCTTGAATTATGCACACAGTTGTGGCATTTCTCCATCTTTCCCCAATTCTCATCCTCCCACCCCTCAAACAACATTTGGAAGATGAGAATGGGAATAATAAAAAATGCTAATCACGATCTCTGAATTATTCTTGCATTTTTACAAAAACATATTTATCTGGAAATCTTGGCTCCCTCGAAACCGTGGCATGCCCCCAGACTGTTCAGAAACTGGAAGCTCTACGGTAGGGGGAGGGTGCCTCACAGTGCATCATATGAAATGAAGCTCCACTTTATTCAATCAATGACAAGATTCAGGGAGTAACCATTATTTTGGTAATCAAGAATTTAAATCTGGGGCGGGAGACAGTAGACAGGATCTGCTAACAAGGCAGGAAAACACCTCTTCTTCATTCTTTCTCAAAGACCCACTGTACAGCTTCCTTGTAGAGGCCCCACTGGAGGTCATGGTTGATGCACCAAGCCCACTCACCAAGAGATTCACTTACTTATTCTAGCAGAGTAAAGATTCTCAGGAAGGGTGGATCTCAAAATGAAGATTTAAACAGTTTGTATGTTATTCAGAAAAGCAGACATTATTCTCTGAAGACATGAGCTTTGGACAGTCCAGGGATTGAAGGAAAGAAATATCACCATTCTTTCCAAGGTGCTGCAGGATTCATTTTGTTTAAATTCAAGTGACATGAGGGCATCTGCTCAGTTTGGGAAAATATTTCTTTACCCACAATGTGTCTTTGAGTTGACTTTCAATCTGTGACAGTGCTGCAGCTCCAGGAGCAACGTTCTCTCTAATCTGCGAGCTGTGACTACTAATAAAGAGAGATAGAAGAACTAAAGCTAGTTGGCGGTCTATACGCATGCAGTGTTCCACTGCCAAGGAAGGTGACCTGTGGTGGCCAAATTGTCCAGCTGCTGCTTAACGCTCCCCATCTTTGGGCATAGCTCCTGTCCCTCCATTGTTTTACAACTTATTCTTATTTAAAATAGGAGTAAAGTACTACTATTGTAAAGTGTTAACAGTAATAATAAAATCATAAGCTAGGCTTCATGCTCGTGCAGCCTGGAGTTTTGCCTTAGATGGCAGTATTATTGCGGCAGATACTGTAGTTTCCTCCCCCATATCCACTCCCCACTTTTTTTTTTTTTTACTCAGTGTTTATTTCAGGTGGCAACGTGCCTGGCTAAAACTACATGTCCTAGCATCCACTGCAGCTAGGGATGACCACGTGACACGGTTCTACCCAATGAGATGTAAGTGGAAGGTGCCTGATGGTACTATTGGACAGAAGGCAGAGTCAGTTTGCCTTTTGCCTCTTTTCCGTCTTCCATTTTCTCCTGGCTGAAGTGTGGATAGTAGCATTGGAAGTGAAATGATGCCACTGGCAAGAGGCTGAAGATACACACCAAAGGTGGCTGAGTGGAAAGATAGAGGAACCGGGGTCCCCGATAGCATGGCAGAGCCTTCATACTAGTCCTGGAATGATGACCTCTGAACTTCTTGTACCCTTGATACAAGCAGTAGTATTGACAATACTGCAGCCCTAGTAGCAATGTTCCCTGTACGATTCTAATTTGAGAGCCGTGACTGCCAATAACAAGGGAAAAGCCCTGTTCAGCAAAGTGACTCAAGATTGGGTACCATCCCCAGCTGTAGGAAGTACCAACAGGGCATATAGTGAACCATCACCGTGACCTTCACAATGGCAACCAGGTTATGGGTACTCAGCTCTGCTGCTAATTTTCATAATATCCTTTTCCAAATCTGCCCTCTACCCCCTTCTCTGTATACGTATAGAATCTTCTATTATTTCAGCATCTATATCTTACATTTCTCAAATCTATTACTCACTGGGTAATGTAATATTTCCTTTAATTTATCCAAAAATACTATCATTAAAGTTCAAGGACTTTGCCCTCAAAGGATCCAGAGATCCTTGGACAAATGGCTGATCCCAGAACTTGGGCAGGGAAGTCAAGGTGAGTTTGGGATATTTTGCTGTGTCAGAAAGCCAGGAAGACTTCAGTGATTAATGTGTCCTC